ACAAACCAACTATATATATATATATATATATATATATATATATATGTGAATGAATGGTTTGGACATAATTCAAGATTATTTTAGTCATTTTTATTGGTTTGGTAGTAAGCAACAAATCTACGGCGGTCTTAAATAACCCGGCAAGTTCTTTTAAGAAACCTTTACCTTTTTGGCAACAAATCTGTCACTTTCAATAAGGAATCTGTGACCTCAATTGCTCAATTAAACTCCAGCACAAGGGATCACCTTCATATGAAGGAGCATACTGTCCATTTGCACCCTTAGGTACAAATCAAGTTGGGAGTATTTTCAAGACCCTTCTTTGTGAGGGTGTAACATATAGACCAATCTTAGGGAAAGAAAAAACACCTCAAATGGAACTCTCGTATAGATGTCCCTCAGAATTTCTTTTTTGGGATAAGTCAAAAGGGGAGAAGGCCCCTACCTATTTTTCATTAAGAGGTAAAAATAGAGAGTTTACTGCTAATCACTTTACATCCCTAGAGCATGGCACTTGTGTCAAATTATGAGTTAAAATAAGACAAATAAAATCCGATGGAAGAGGATACCAAATACTAGCTTTTAAACGAGATGTAACTGTCTTTGCAAGAATATCAGCCACCATATTAACCTCACAAACAAATGTGAGAGATAAACTACCTACAATTAGAAAGATGTTGGACAATTTGCTGCAATCGCATATAACTTCCATAATGTTTCCAAACTCAAAATTTACATTCTTATTCATTATTATTATCATCATCTAAGTCTTGTTCCAACTATTTGGCACTAGCAACACAAATATGTTTTATTGTTTTGTACTATCAAGGGTCATACCCTCGATCAGATTCATGGCACGTAATAAGTTGTAGTAAAAATTTTATGTTGCCCACTAACCTAACACATCCTTCCTTTCTCATCTAAGCTTGGGATTGGCATGACCGATACTCCCATGGTTGAGTTAAAATTGACATTTTTATTGGTTTAAAAATATTCATCGGTGATTCTTAGATGGATCCCACAGTTTCATAACAAAAAAAAGGAAAATCCTATGAGATACCTCTTTTTTGTGCGGTAGTTAATGCACGATATGCTCCCTTAGGAGCATTTAAACTCACTAATAACTTCATACAACATTGCCCTTGCACGTTACTCCAAAGCAGTGTGTACCTACAGAGTGCCCCGGCAGGAGCACGCTATCCATCTTTTGGACATAACAAAAGATGAAGCTCAAGAGTCCCACCACCAGAAGAGAATAGAGGGTCATGATATTATGGTACCAAATATGCATTCGTCAAATGTGAACCGTCCATTCGAAAAACGAAGATCTTTAACCGTCTAATTAAAAGAACTCTTTGTGAAAATACACTATACCCCACGGAATCATGTGGTTGGGTTCACACTAGTATCATTTTCCATGAAAAAGGGGTTGGAGCATTCGAGTGGATCTTCTTCTCTCTCTCTAGTGCACTAATCGACATACTTATGCTAACTGCTAATCGACATACTTATGCTAACTACTTCATTATATCACCTCTCTCTCTCACTCTCTCCATACACTCTCTCACTAATCACCCTAGTTATACTAATCTCTTTGTTACAGTTAGTTAGACCACATGATGTATAATTTTTGGATCCCTACCAACCTGGTTCTTTGTCGGAACTGGAATCTGTCTGACTCAAAGGATTCACTTGGTTCCGCCAAGGAACTTTTGCAAGTTTGTTAGGCAATTAGGTGATCCGGATCGACCCATTTGCTAATTGCCACTTTTTATCTCTCTCTCATCACCCTAATTATGCTAGACCATGGCATTCTCTCTCTCTCATGCAGTAGTTATGCTAATTACATCATATAGACCATTACATCATCGTATGTATACAAGCAATTGGAAGGGATTATGCTTTGCTGAACTGTTTTAAATGAAGAGTGAAATCATGATTACATTCCAAAGCGTTAATTGCGGTGCCCATCTGCAATGATTTAAGATAAAGCATCTCTCCATTCATTTCTTTGGTGGACCTGATTCAGACAAGTCTATCTATCACAATTCTCTCTCTCTACATATTTATAATGAAAAAAAAGCTATATGAG